GCTGTCATTGTTGTTTGGCGGGTCCGGGCTGGGGATTCGAACCCGCCACCTTAGGTGTACGTGGCTGGCGCCTTAGCCGGTTGAGCTATTTTGTCGGGGGTGGGGTGGTCACTAGGAGACCAGTAGGAATGATGGGACTGTAGGAACGCAGGGTTGTGGAGGATGAGTTTGGGGAGGTTCTGTAAGTTCTGATCAAAGCACCTAATGAAGGGGGAAGGAATAACTCCTGCAGTTAGGGAGAAGTGAAGTGCAAGCAGGTTAAGCGAATGAACTGAAAGTCCTGCCAGAAAAACTGGGCCACTGCCCAGAGCTTGCTGTTACCTGCTCTCCAAAATGCCAAGCCCACTGTATTACAAGGGGCGGGGATTAGCAAACCCTTTCCTTACTTGGCACAGAAAAAATTCAGGTTGCCACCAAACTTACCACCAAAATTTTTAAAAGCATGACTAGAGAGAAGGAAAAAGCCCAAAGTTTTAATTGGAAACATATAGTTATATAATTTCACAGAAGACACATTCACATCTTAAATAGCATCCCATTTAAGTGGGAAAAAGAAGTTGTTTTATGTAATATGTTTCCTATGACACAAATTCTTCTTCATGTCCTAAATATCACTATCAAACAATCATTTGTTATTGAATTGTTCACTTCTAGCACAAAGTTGGACTAAATTTTTTTAAATTTCTCATTGTGTAACATTTTTATTTATTTATTTTATTTTATTTGTATTAAGTCATAGCTGTGTACATTAATACTATCATGGGGTACAGTGGGTTGTTACTATATACAATTTGGAATACTTTCCTCCAACTGGTTAACATAGCCTTCATGTCATTTTCTTAGTTGTTGTGTTAAGTCATTTACATTCTACATTTAGTAAGATTCACATGTAACCTTATAGGATAAATCATAGGTGTGATCCCACCAATCACCCTCCCTCCACCCATCCTCCCCCATCCCCTCCCTTCCCTTTCCCCTTTTCCTGTATTCTTGGGCTAAAATTGGGTTACAGTTTTCCTACCATAGCTATAGATTAGTTTCATAATAGGGTTGAGTACATCGGATACTTTTTCTTCCATTCTGAGATACTTTGCTCAGATCTCTTCCACGAGACACCGTATACATTCTGTAGGTCATGGCACTTGATACATCCTATGGAGTTAACTGTTAACAGGCATGTCGCCCTTCCTCCTCATGCACCATGCACTTCAGATCGGAGAACACGAGGACAACATATTCCCAAAGCCTCACACATGGTCTAGCACTGCTACACAGTGAACATTTTGGTATTAAATTAAACCGGATTGCCCTTCCTTTCAGCATCCTGTGAATATGCAAATACTCCTGGAAGAGGTAACAAGTCAGACTTGTTCCTAACATTTGCAGATCCAGGAACATATGTAAGGTTCATATAACATCAATCTAAATATTTACAACTTATAAATCAAGCTGGTAAACTCTTACATCAAATGTGTTCTATCTTTCTATCTCAACAAATAGACCTTCATAGTGGCAGGGTAAAAACATGGAGTTAGATTTTCATGTTAAAAGTCAAAAAACATGTCAAAGTTAAAATTTAATTATCAATATGCATAAATCATATTTTTCTTCCAGTAAATACATTTTTTTATCTTTATTTCAGCAAAATCATTAATTATGCAGTTATCATAAAAATTTTCAAATATTTCGTGTTCCTTTTAAAGTGGTGATCATATAATCTTTCCTGAATCACATGATGTCTGCTGTCTTTTATTTTTTTCTGGTCTTAAAAATTTAAGGACACCTTCACTTTGAATTTTTTTCTGTTTCTATTTTCTTTTCAAACATTTTTTCTGAACTCCACTAACACATTTTCTTTTACTACCCAATCTCAACTTATATGTAGTCTTAAAGGATTAAAAAAATGAAATGTTTTATGCAAAACAGATATGATTTGAATATATATTTTATAAAAAGCTACAATTCAAAGTACCAAAAATTAAAATTTAGAGTTATTTCCACATGCATTCTCAGATATAGTTCGTATATAGTTTTTAAAAAGTTATTGTCTTCTAAAATTTCCAAAAACATCCATTAAAATGAAGGCAAAATATGAATTATTCTTTGATATAAATTTTAAGGTATTAATAAATAAAGCTAAATTCTATTAAATCTCACATATCTAGATTTAAAAAATAAAGGAAAAATACCAACAATTCAAGATTCCATGGCCATCTGGTTGGAAAAAATCAGTGTCAAGCTTTATTTACATATACTTATAATACTATGAATTATTTCATATGTGAAATAGTCCCCAGCCATCATGGGCACCTGTATTAATTCAGAAGTACCCGCAGAAGCATAAACTGGAACCAAACCAAAGTCAGAAAATTAGTCATTGCTTGAAAATGATTTATCATTTTCATGATCATTTTCATGAGCTTTATCATACAATAAGCTATTTCATTTCTGCTGTCCAGCAGAAGAATCTAGAAAGTTACTTAGTTTGTCCTTTCTCTTACCTGAGTGCGTCCACAGTGCAAATTTCTCTGCATCCTTCAAAGCAGTATCTCTTTCTGTTGTCAGCAATGGTACAACCTGCAGACCTTGTAGCATTTGGGCACCTTTTTTTTCTAGGACATAGAACAAAAGATGGTCCAAAATGTTTCTCTGGGGCTTAGAGAGTCATAATCATCAGAGCAGGTGTTTAGCGTTCTGGCTTTCTGTGTGCCAGCACAAAGTGTGGGACTCCTCACAACAGAGAAGGCTGAGAGGTGTTCAGTTCTTGAATCTGTATTATTGATAACCCAAGCCCTCTAAATGGATAGGTCATAGAACAAGGGTCTCCTGTGGTCTGGGTTCCCAGGTGGATTGCATGGTAAGGGTCTGCCCATGAAATTATCAAGTGAGGGGACGCTACCCTCTAAAGAGAGAGGATGGAAGAAAGTTGACACTGAATGGTGGGAAAAGACAAATGAACTTGGAGGGAGCTCAAGCAAAACATGGCCTTGCTCATAGTTTTGTTTGGGAGTTTGTTCTAGAAGTGTTAGTTTGTTACTCTTTTGAGTACATTGTCTGTGTGCTGCTCTTGGTCTCCCAGTTCTACAAACAGTCTTAAGTTAATCATTGTTCAGATAATTTAAAAGTGTTTGATATAGGTTTCATTTAGATTGCCATCTCTCCTGTGTTTACCCTTTGGGATTTAAGTCCCTCTCTAGTCAGGATTTGGAAATCAGGGATGCCCTCAATGTATCTAAAATAATCTCATTGCTTCGATTAGTATTTTCAGAATTTTGCCTAGCATGTAAAGTGTAGGCTCCTATGAATCAAAACCCTTAGGAGGCTCACAGGCCTCAAGCAGAACTTCTAAGAGAGGACTTTTAATCCGAATATAGCTAGGGATATTTGGGGTGTGGTTATATTCATAGCTGTAGCTACAATCAGCCAAAATAGTAACATGAGGGGAGAAAAGCGTAATGAACATGTTTAGTAATATGTTTATTTGTCTTCATTCCCAAGTGCTGTATGTCCAGATCATAGTAACTGTTTTAAGCTATACTTTACGAGCAAGAGTTAAAAAAAAAAAAAGCCACATAGTAAGAAATCCTGCTCATGAAATATCAAAAAAGCCTTAGAGTGCAAAATAATTCAGCTAAACTTGAAAGGTAAAGATAAAATAATATAGCTTAGAGGTGAGAGATATTCCCTTTCCTTTTCAACTGTCTTAATTCTTTACATGATAAATATCTCGGTTAGAAATGTGGTCCATTCATTCATACTTCCAATATTAATTGGTGATTACGGGTACTGATTCATTTTTTTATCCATGCTTAGAATTTTAATTCTTTTTGTCACTTTGCATTAAGCTAAGAGTAGTCAAAATAAGAAAGCTTGCAAATAAGTAGAAAAATTGTATTGTAATATTGTGTTTGAACTGTGTCATATTTGTCACCTTTTCCAGTAAAACACATTGGAACAAACAAGTCACTTTGGGTTATTGCTTGACTTGGTCGATGTAGTATCTCTGATTATTTTGTATTTTGTAAAATTCAGGTCTGCTTTTGCCGCTACTGCTAATATACTCTTGTCTTCCTTTTAGAACATGCTACTAATAACAGTAGATTGGAACACAGAAGCATTGTTGGCAAACCAAGTTTTATTAAATGTGTGATTTTATCTGTTATAGAACACGAAAAGCAGCGGTTATGCAAAAGTACCGATTATATGAATTTGCATTTCAAAGTGAAATGGTTTTATAATGAATATGTGCGCGAACTTCCTCCCTTCAAGGATGCTGTTCCTGAATACTCCTTGTAAGTAGTGATTTGCACACACACACATACACCTCACAGCCCTGTAAAATAACACCTGAATGGTGCAGCATTAAAATCTCCTCACATAGTTTTCACTGGAAAGCAGAAATTTCTGTTATAAAATTAACATTAAAAGATTTGCATGTCTTTGGAAACCATATTTAGTTGAATTATATTATATTTTTACAGGTATACCTTACTTGGACATTCAGCTTAAAGACAAAGAAATATATAATAGGATATAGCTCATGTGATGAAATTATTTTCTGTAAAAGTGCTAGAGGCAGACTTAAAAAAAAAAAAAAGCTGGGGCAGTGCCTGTGGCTCAAAGAGATAGGGTGCCGGCCCCATATGCCCAAGGTGGCAGGTTCAAACCCAGCCCCAGCCAAAAACCACCAAAATAAATAAATAAAAAATAAGGTGCTCAATCCAATACATGCCCAAATAGAAGAAAAACTTAATTCAAGCTGGGAGGAGGGGAAACAAAGAAGAGGGAGGGGTTGGGGGCCCACTGAGTGGGCACGAGGGTGGGGAGGTTTGTGTGTGCGGCATAACCAGCAGACGAACTGTGCATAAATAATCAGATATTTTGACCTGGTTGCTTGTACCCACACATTAACCTGAAATAAGTTTAATTAAAAAAAATAAAAATGGTACTTATTGATTGATCCTGTATAATCAGATTTTCCCTTTCATTCAAATTTATCACAATGTTAAAAGTTTATACTTTTAAAGTAGAAATTATTACTTACCAGGCAATGTTATTATAAAAATACTACTATATAAAGACGTTTGTAATCACACAATCACACGTATCATACTCTGCCCTTGATATGTATTAGAATCCTATTCCATTCGTCCATATGTCAGGCACTCTGCCAAGTGCTGTTGGACAATAACAAAGAAGATAAAGACCCGACCCTGAAAGGAGCTTGTGCTCTTGGAGATATTGATAAGTTCAAAGATGGTGATAAAGCAAGACAAAATTAAATATGTGCTACTTTAAGGAGCATAAGCAAAGTGCTATAAGGTTTCACAGAAGAGAGACATTACCCCTATTTGGAGGACACCCTACTGTATTGATGAATGGAAGAGCATTTGATACAGTCTTTAAAAAATAGGCCAGCTTATGGCCAGAGAAGAGAGAAAAGCATTAAGGTGAAAATAAAAGTTCTGAGTATAATTATGGAGGTAGGAATATATTGGTTCTGATCCATGGGAAATTCATTTTCACAAAATTAGTAGAAATTAATATCTTAAAAAGCAATATATGAAAAGTAATTTTGAACTAGATTATTATAAATAAACGCTGTAAAGCTTGTACCACCTTCATTAGGCATTGCCAGAGGTGGAAGAGACAGAATAGGAGACAGAGATTTAGAAGGTGGTGAACAATGTAATGAGGAGATAGAATGGCTCTTTAATAAAACTTTCCTCATAGACATATATAAGAAAGAATGGGGCTCGGCACCTGTGGCTCCAGCGGCTAAGGCGCCAGCCACATACACCTAAGGTGGCGGGTTCGAATCCAGCCCGGACCCCCCAAACAACAATGACGGCTGCAACCAAGAAATAGCCAGGCGTTGTGGTGGGTGCCTGTGGTCCCAGCTACTTGGGAGGCTGAGGCAGGAGACTCGCTTGAGCTCAGGAGTTGGAGGTTGCTGTGAGCTGTGAAGCCACAGCACTCTACCCAGGGGGATAGCTTGAGGCTCTGTCTCAAAAAAAAAAAAAAAAAGAAGGAATGGGACAGTGGGACAAGTTAAAAGGCTATACTATAGGGCAGGGAGTATAAAGATGTTGGCCCAAGGGTACAAAATTTCAGTTAGAAGGAATTTGTTCAAGAGATCTATTGTACGATCCAGTGACTAAATATAGTTAATGTATTCTTAGATGTTGCTAAGACAACAGATTTTGTGCATTCTTACCATTAAAAAAATAAGTATGTGAGGTGACACATGTTGATTAACTCAATTTAGCCATTCCGTGAGGTAAACATATTTCAAAACAGTATGTCGTACATGGCAAATATATACCTTTATCAATTAAAAAATAAATTCAAGTTAATGAGATAGCAGTGATCAGGGGCTGTGAAAGTTGCTTGGAATTGTGAGGCCAAGATTCCAGAGAAGCGAAAACTACAGAGGAAGGAGCACAAGGCCTTGTAGGCAGCTTCCCGTGTGGTAATTTGTGATTCCTAAGCTGCCCGTGTGTGGAGATTGAGGCAAAAACAACCAAGTAGAAAGGAGGCACTGAGAGATTTAAAACTAAGGTGAGACTTCAGCAGTCTCACAGTGCTGGAGGGAAAAATGTTAGAGCTCAAGGCCTGTTAAGCAAGAAATGATGTTATATATGTCCTGGGCTGTCAAGTGAGACTTTTGAAGTGTTCTGTTCTAGAAATAAAGGCAAACTAGAAATAGACCAGGCCAATACCCTGCCTTGTATATATCAAGGTGATCTCCTTGTGTTTTGTCTCCAAGAAAAAATTTAAATCCTCTCTGGAAGACATAATCAACCAGAGATTTACAATCTGTCATGAGCAATCTCTAATAGTCATTAAAAAATAAAGGTTATCAGGTAATAGGACTGAATGACTATTTGGAAATTATACTTCTTCAGCAGAAGAATCAGACAAAAAATAGAACAAAGATGTTTGAACAATACAATTAAGACATGTGAAGATATCTATCTGTACAGATATCTATAACCCTATATCTATATTTTAGACCTGATCATGCAGAGATTCCACAGTTTTTCACAGGCATTGTTTACATACACACACTCACCACCCTATATGCAATGAGAAAGTACATATTGTGATTAGGTACACATGATGCATATAACAAAATAGACCCTCTATTGGGCCATAAAACATACAAATTTTAAAGAATTGAAAACACTTATTATATATATTCTTGGACCACCGTGGAGTTAAGACAGAAATCAACTCCAAGAAGATAACTACAAAATCATCAGATATAGAAATTAAGCAGAGCATTCTAAGTAACTCAGGAGTTAGTAAAAGAAATCATAGGGAAATCATAAATATTTTGAACTAAGTAATAATAAAATGTGGCACATCAAAACTTGTGAAATGCAGCTACAATGGGAAATAGAGGAAAATATAGAGCTTTAACACATATGAAAGAAAAAAGAATAGAAAATCAATAATAAAAGTAATTATTACAGAAATTTTGAAGACAGAAAATTAAATCAGAAGAAAATAGAAAAAAGAAAATAATCAATAAGAACGTAATTAAAAGTAAAATTAAAAACTTTAAAAAAGAGAAACTATTTCTGCTATTTTAGTAAAAAGTTGTCGTTTTTTTTTTTTTTTAAGACTGATAAAATAGAAAAAGCTTTACTTTCATGTGATTAAAGGCCATGGGGGGGAGGTATCACAGATTACCATTAAAAAAGAACATCATAAAGATTCTACAAAGATTTTTTAAAAATGAATATTTATGCCAGTACATTGAGACAAATATTAATATATTAGTCTAATAGTTGTATCTTAGACAAAATATACACATTTTTTAAAAATAGAACATTAAGTTGATAACAAGAAATATATAAACTCTGGATACCTTATAACTATTTAAAAATTTAGTTCTTAATTAAAAATTATGTCACAAATAAAATATCATGCCCAGTTGGCCCCCAATAGAGCTCTTGCAAATGTTTAAGGAATATTGTAAGAATTGTTCCAGAGACGGCAGGAAAATACCTTAAACCATCTTGCGGCCATCATTTCCTTGCCACTAAAATCTATTAAGAATGTGACAAATAATCATAATAACCCAATTTCTCTTGTGAACATAGTTGAAAAAAATAAATGAAATTTTATCCAGTACATTCCAGTAATTTATGAAAAGGCTAATATAACATCGCCAAGGAGAATTTCTTCCTGGAATATGACATTGATTAAACATTTTAATGTTTTTTTTGCAGTTTTTGGCCGGGGCTGGGTTTGAACCCACCACCTCCGGCATATGGGGCCAGTGCCCTACCCCTTTGAGCCACAGGTGCTACCCTGGTTAAACATTTTAAACCAATTAGTGCAGTTTACCACATTTAAAACTAAAGGAGAAAATCTCTACAATCTAACACTGGCCATAGAATCATAATTTGATAAAATAAAAATACCAATTTATTATAAATATTTCTTAGCAAGTTAAGAAGAAAATCTTTCTAACTAATAAAATACCCCCTCCAAACAATAATACAACTAAAAAACCATTCTACTATTGACAAAATTTTAAACACTTCCCTCTAAGATTAAAAATGAGACTGATACCTGATAATGTCACTTTTATTTAACATTGCACTAAAAGTCATTGGTAATGCAGTAAGATAAGAAAGGAATTGAAAAGCAGAATGAATATGAAAGTAATTAATGATGCTATTAGTATTTGTAGATGACATAATTTGAATCTGTAAAATCCAAAAAGAACGACAGGAAAACTAATAAAATTTTAAAGTAATTGTAGTAAGTGTATATGAAAGCTTATTGAGTTTCTATGCTACAGCCACTGTTAGAAAATTATATATAAATCATACAATTTAAATAGCATTAAAATCACTACAGATAAATGTGATGAAAGATGTGCAACCCCTCTTTCCAGCAGCTATAAAATATTACAGAGAGAATTTAAGGCGACCTAAATGAAATCTACAATGTCCCTAAAAAGAAACATTATTAGACAAATGGTAGATCTGCCCACACTGGTCTGCAGATTCAACGCACTCCTATAAAAATTTGAAAAAGTAATTTTGTGCAAATAGCCAAGATCATTCAAAAGTGCACATAGAAATGCACAGGACAGAGACAACCAAGGCAGTCTTGAAGAACAAGTTTAAAAGGCTGGAGAACTATACTATCAGTTATCAAAAACTTAACAGAAAGAGTGGTCTGTTAGTGCATGACAAATCAAAGGGACAAAATAGTCCAGAAACCGACCTACACAACATCAATGTCATTACCAGATTGACATACCAGGTCAGTGCAGCAGGGAATGGATGGTATTCTAAATAAATATTGCTAGATGGGGGCATCCAGATGGAATAAAGAACTTTGAAACTTAGATCACCCACAAAAACCAATTGCAAATGTATTCTAGATCATAACTAGAAAGTCAGAGGCAAGCAACCAGGGGCAGTTACAGATTAGTGGGAATGACTTAGAAGTTCAACTGTGAGGGATTAAGAAACAAGGGAATTGTATGATAAGAGATAGCACCGCAGGTATCATTTTATAGGAGTCTGAATTGTAGAGAGAATTGAGGAGTGCTGGGAAGGAAGCCTATTTGAGGCAATTTTGGAAGAGCCAAGAGAGAGGTAGAGATTGAAAGTGAAAGGCTGGGGGATAGTTGATGAGGTAAAGGTGAAGGTCTCTAAGTGGGCAAAACTGGAGAAAGGGAATGAAAGAAGATTCTTGATCCTGAATTACATTCACATAAGAGCAGCATTCCTGTTAATTATATGCAATGATGTCCTTTGTGGTATGTAACATCGTTCATTTTTTTAGGTGGTTTGAACCTTTTGTCATGCAGTGGCTAGATGAAAATGAAGATGTGTCAATGGAGTTCCTTCATGGGGCACTGGGAAGAGACAAAAAAGATGGAGTGAGTTTACATTGTCACAATTCAGTCACGTCGCTTGCTTTCATGCTAATGGAAATGGTTAGGCTTACTGTTACTAATTTGGTTTTGTTTTAATTACCCAGTGACCAAAATAAATTTAAAACACACTTCAAAGGGCTGGTCAGTACCCTAGAGAATTGCTTAAAAAAAAAAAAACAAAAATCAAGGCCAGGCATGGTGGCTCACACCTGTAATCCTAGCACTCCAGGAGGCGGAGGCAGGTGGATTGCCTGAGCTCAAGAGTTTGAGAGCTGAGCTCAGCCTGAGCAGAGTGAAACCCCATCGGTACTAAAAATGGAAAAACTAGCTGGACATTCTGGCAGGCAGTTGTAGTCCGCTCGGGAGGCTGAGGCAAGAGGATTCTCCAAGAGTTTGAGGCTGCTGTGAGCTATGACACCACGATACTCTATCCAGGGTGACAGAGTGAGATTCTGTCTTAACAACAACAACAAAAAAGCAATCACCCCTTTGTCCCAAGACTCTTCTTTACTCTGCTCTCAATCTGAGAGCAGATTGATATGAATCTACAAATTCCACAGGCTTATACAAAACATTTCTGTTGCCCTGGAACTGTTCTAGATTAGGAGCAGGCACCCTCCCAGTCCCAGGAAACAACTCTCAAAAGTCTTGACCACAAGGAGCTTGTTTTGCTAAGCTGTGCTAATGTCCCCGGGGAAGGAGAAATCTGAAAGACCTGGTTGCTCAGTTCAGCTGTGTAGAAACCAGTCAGCCGCAGCTTGGCCTGTGGATGTTAGTTTCACTACACTTTCCAGGAAAGGACAGGAACAATTGTAACATGGGCAAGCATTTCATTACTGGGAAAGATTCAGTTGTATATGTGAAATAATGAAGATTCTTCCCACGCCCCTGCTAATGTGCTCATTGGGATGGTTTCTCCTCCTCTCCCCTCAGTTCCAGCAGACGTCTGATCATGCCCTCTTCTCCTGCTCCGTGGTGGACGTCTTTGCTCAGCTTAATCAGAGCTTTGAGATTATTAAGAAACTGGAATGCCCTAATCCTGAAACATTGTCTCACTTAATGAGAAGATTTGCAAAGGTAGGTTAAATGGAAGGGGTACCCGCCCGCCCGAGTGCTGCTGGTGTTTTGTAGGATCAGTCTTATCTAACACCACTACCCCAATTTTCATTTGTTCTTCTATACTAATAGGTTCAGTTGTTTCTAAGATTGTTATCTGATTTACTGGACTTCCTATGTTTCTGATATGGATTTTTCATCTTAAAAACCTACTTGTTGTTCACATTGATAACTCATTCACTTATTATAATTGAAGAGAATGCCATGGATGGCCATATTATTGCCATCTAAAATGAAACTTTCTCCCTGAAAGTAACCCTTGGCATTTTATGTGCAAATTGACAAGTATGTTTTAGTAGACACTGTAGTACTGTAAAATGTATTTTGGATTTTGAAGCCTGAAAATTGACTTCTGATTACGAATCCACCAATAACTATAGTGGGAATCTGAATCCTTCAAATTTTTTTTGTGAAAATAGTTTTTATATTTGACGGATCAATTTTGATCAAGAAAACTTTTCAAGGCCTTTTTTTAAAATCTAAGGCTACTTTGCTAAGGATTTCAAGGGAAATAAAAGAAGCAGTCTCTGACCATCAAATCTTAAAAAATTCATGTAGTACTCGAGAACATGTGACATAAACTAATTGGAAGATGACACAAAAACGGACACAATTGAGATTCCAGCATAGTGAGATCTATACTGAATTGAGAACAAGGAGAGATGATGATGGGAGGTGAAATAGACAGAGGCTTCATGGTAAAACTAGGGCTCATAGAGACCCAAGAAGGGAGAGTTAGAAAGCTGTTTTCAACCATAGAACAGCAGGATCCGAGGGACAGGTAAAGCTAAGCCCTACTAGCAGGGGCAGAGAGAAACCGTCCTGTTAGGGGGAAGCAGTGGGACGGGTTGGGAGAGTGAAGATGGCCCAGATCTTGAAGAGCTCTGCTCTTCTTGTTCAGAAGATTGGACCCAATCTTTTCATCGATTTAGGAAACACTGAACATTTGGGGGATTTTATGCGGGTTAGCAATAGGACAAGCAGAGTAATTTAGGAAAACTACTTACACAGTTCTGTGTCTGGCTGATCTAAATATAAGTCTGGCTCCGTGGGTTGAGTGATGACTGAGGTTTCAGCTGTTCATTCAACAAGGGCTTACTGTTTGCCTCACTCGTGCACTGTATTAGCCCCCGTGAGGGATAAAATCATAAATAAGCATAATCTCTGACTTCAAAAAACTTGAAATGGTAGAGCCCAACTGTAAACAACCAGGAGAAATTTATACGCACACACATATATATATTTGACATGTTAAGGAATAAGAAAATGCCCAAACCCAATTACAATGGTTTAATATTTAAGATGTTTTATGAGTTTGCTAGAGAAACCATAATAAAATGCCACAGATTGAGTGAACAGAAATTTATTTTCTCACAATTCTGAAAACTAGAATCCAAGATAAGTTGTCCACGGGTTTGGTTTGTCCTGGGTCTCTCGTGTAGCTGGTAGATGGATGTCTTTTTGCTGTCCCCTCTTCACGTCCTCTCTCGGGATGGTGGCCTGTCTGATATTTTCTTCTGCATCCAAATTTCCTCTTATATGGATACCAGACAGATTGGACTAGAGCCCACCCTGATAACCTCATCTTAATTACTTTTCTAAAGACGCTGTTTCCAAATACACTCACATCCTAAAGTACTGAGTTAGGACTTCAACTTACGGATTTTGAGAGCACAATTCTACGCATAACAGATGTGTATATTTAACATACTACTGCCTTGAACCCCAGAGACAGAACAGTGAGTATACACACATGACTGCATTCACCATCATTACAGAAAGTCTAAGTCCAAGTCCTTTATGAATGGGAGGTTTCGTACTGATCCTGTCGTTGGCCCTACCTCTTAGGAAAGTTTAAGCTCAGTTCTCTGATTGATGACTCAGGAGACAAGTCTTACAAGAGATTGTACCTTTTATTAAATGTGATAGGATAGTTCATATTTGAGGTAACAAACCCAGAAATTCTATGGTTTGACACCAGAGAGATTTACAACCTAGACACAGAACATCAGATACGGGCGGGGTGACCCTGTAAGGGAGCTCTCCACCATTCTATAAATCAGGGATTCTACTCTGAGAAGAACCAAAGGGACTAAAGCGTAGGGTTCCCCGAAGGCTCATGGAGGTAAAGTTGGACAATTAAGTTCATATTACAAAGAGCCTTAAAGAGCAGGCAAAGTGGCCGAACTGCTTCAGTAGAAAAATGAGGAGCCCATGAAGCTTTAGGGGAAGACAAGCTGTTAGCTTAAGCACTATTACAATATTTATTTGCCGTGAAATATTTTGAACTCACATCTTTATATCTATTAATCAAGAAGACTAACCTCCCACTTTTTAACATTATGGCTAAAAATCATTTACTTGAATCACTCTTGGAGGGGACTTCCTTAGTCCCCTTAGATGATTCCCATTTCTCAACATGGTGAAATATGCAGGAGAGTAATTCTAAACATTCTCTACATCTTTTCTTGACGAGCTGCTGTGTTTTGGGAGATTGCCAAGAAAAGAGTGAAAGTGGGTCCTTAGGGATAGTGTTTGAAAATACATGCCATGGAATTCTGTAGGACCTGTAGTGAAAGCAGGATCAGATGAGAATTTAAAAATCTCAAGAGTTAATATCTTTAGTAACATATTATTAGAATGGTACCCAATATTAGAAAAGTGTCTAGATTTCAGTCACTCAGAGTAACTCAGAATCCAGGCAGGTAGGCTGTGTAAGGTGGGATCCTTATATCAAAACATGCTGAAATCACATTATTTTTCTTGGACTTACATTGAGTTAAACAGTCCTCCTAGAAATAAGACATATTAATGATATCCACAGACATTTAGCATTCTAAAATTATAGAAGACTTAGCATTCTAAAATGGAATTTAAAGGGCCAATGTGTCCTTACTAACAAATGTGTGGGACTGAAGAAGATACAAAAAAGTGCTCCAAATTTCGTATCGGGAACACTCCAAAGCTGTGATGAGTGACGCTATGGTATGTAGTGAACGTTCCTATGGCTATACTGCTGCTCTTGACAAGCATGAGTAGTTTAATTTTAAACAGAGATAGAAAGTAAAGTTATCTTTAATGTTACTTAAAAACAAATAAACAAATATCGAGTCCAGGATAAGAGTCTGGCTGCTAGATAGAAGAGGCTCTGTAGTGAATGAGACACATTCCCCTCCCCCCCATTCTTTGTTCTCTGGGAACCTAATCTGAAGTTTTAAAAATAATAATTATAGTCCCTTGAGAAATATTTTATGCGAATTGCTTTATATAACCTTGTTGTTCTTCACAACGACCCTATGAAATGGTACTGTTATTTTCCCTAAATTTTCAAATGATGAAACCAGCCTCAAAACGTTTAAAGCACTGAGATAGGGCGTGCACCTAGGAACGGAATGGATGGGATGTTTTTAACCACTAGGTACACTCCCACCTCCCATCCAGTGTAAGCAGAAGTCAACTAGTAAGTTGGAGAATGGACTGTCCTCATTTATTTTTACCCTTTAGGAAAAGCCTAGGCATCTGTGGTGGAAGAAGTGAAAGACACTCTTATGTCCAATATGTTAAAATATAGCACATAGAGCATTCAGGTCAAATTTTTAATGATGCTTCTCAAGTGATGTGCTAATCGTCTTGTCCTTGCATTGCTCAACACTGTATCGTTCCACACATAAAATGTTATTGGAAAGATGAAACTGGAGCCAGAGCTCTTACCTGACTGATGCTAAGAGCAGTACACTAGATGGCACAACTGAACGTGCCGGCAGGATGTGCACCCCCTGCTGCCAGCGTGGCATTGCATCAGGAAACCATAGTGACCCTGTCCGAGTACTTGACGTCCATCCTACTGCAAGTCAAATCACTACTGATTGAGGCTGGGAGATGTTTTAGTCATCCTCTCTGATCCTTTAAATACCAAAGAATCACTGATTTTACTGCCACAATCCTATTAGAATTTCATCTTATTTACTCTGCAGCTCTTGGAATAGCAGCTTATTTGGTGCTTCTCATAGAAGAGGCACCGCATGACCAGCTGTTCATATAAACTGTGTTTTCTTATAGAACAAAATGCAAGCAGCCCCATTAAGCTGTCTGCTGCCTCTGTCTCTGCACTGTCCTCTCTTCTGAAGACCAGCCCTTTCTCAAAGATAAAATAATGCCCTGAGCTCACACACCCAGGAGCCCTGTCTTTCAGGCCTTGCCAGATACCCCTTCCATCAGCAGGTTCTCTCTTCAGAGTTACCTCCACCCTGCCATCCATTACTTAGGACAGTGGTTCTCAAGCTTAGCATGCATCAGAATCATCTGGAGGCTTGTTAAAACACACTGCTGGGACACCCTCCAGAGGTACTGACTCACTGGACCTAGGATCCACTAGCCAGTTTGCATTTCCAATCAATCCTCAGGTATGCTTGTGATGTTGCTGATCCCAGAACTACATTATAAGAACCAATGACTTAAGAGACCTGTCACAACCAGTTACTTATTTATATGGAAGAATGGATGTCTGATAGTAATTTACTTAGTTGAATAAATTAGGATAATATTGAAGTCGCCCCTAAAATGTGCATTGTACATTCTCATGCATGTATACCTTTTACATTAGTAAATAAGTGGGGCTTATTCCAGCAGCCTACCTGGAACTGTTATGGGAACGCAGTGTTAAACTCTACCCTGCATGACTATGCAGCTTTTCTCACCTGCAGCTCATTCAGGCTTGCTAACCTGCTATCTGCAGACTAGTGGATGTAAGATCCCAGAATGGGGGTCTCTAAGCAGGAGGGAATACCTTGAGAGTAACTGTAAATGGATGTCCAGATTCCCCTTTCTTCTCCAGGAAAATAAACAAACAGGTTATTTAGTAACTTGTCCGGCGGGTATCTGAATGTTACCAGGTTATAGAGGAATTTTATGCAAGTTATAATGTCTAAGTTACAACAATCTCCTAAAGCAGTGGTTCTCAACCTGTGGGTCATGACCCACAGGAACTATATTAAAGGGCTGTGGCATTAGGAAGGTTGAGAACCACTGTCGTAAAGTCGGGTTTATGTGTTGTGTTTGCTTTTGGTTTTGCAATACAGTAAAATGATTCTTAAAGTTTAAATATCATTAAGAAACTGTAAATGGAGAGGAGTATTTGCAGTTACAAATGAATTAGTGCTCCCTTAGGTAAGCCAAAGTAATTCAACATTATGTCTAAAGTAAAATTTGAAGAGACTCATTTAGAGGATAGTCTGATCAGCCATCTGTTTTCCTGGATTGATTGGTCTGCTGCTTGATAAGATTTTATATTTTTTCAAGGCAGACTTTCTAATTAAATTGATGTACATCATCACATTGCCGGGTCCTTCTACAAAGTATCAGTTTCCTGTCTGCATGTTATCCCTGATTTTAGGTTTTCACTGTGATTTTAAAAGTCTGTAAAACAAGTTCAAGTTCATTGGTAAATTGACCTTTATAGATTAAACATCTCTTCTTCAGCTTCACTCCTTGGAGTGGCATCCCCGGTAGATTTTAATCCACTGTGAAAATTCAGACAGATGTGTTACACACAAAAGAAAACAGAAAGCCTTTTGTCTTTGCTTTCCTATGAAAAGAGAAAACATATTTCTTTCCTTGATGCTTTGTCTCGCCTAAGAAAATCACATCTACATGTGGTTTATAAAAATTCAATCTGGACGAAAACTCAATACGGCTTTCATTAATTGAAATAAAATTTAATGAACACAGTTCATTTTCCTGTTTTCGGTAACTAATAAAAGCAGAGGACATTCCGAGGCTTAGAAATAGTTCTGAGAGAAAGAAAGAAAATGTAGAATTAAGATGAAAAAGACAGACAGAGGGGAAAGAGTAGGCACTAACTTGATAAACAAAAGGTAAATGAATCAAGGGATGCAGAAAGAATGTAATACAATGAAAGTTTAGGTTTTAAGAGTTTCTGATAATACTCAGTATGGCTCTGTATCACAGGAAATGACTGAAAATACTCATTCCTAAGTGACGGGCACGGTAATACTCTCACCCCACTTATAAATGAAGTGTTGGAACATCTGAGAAAGTTCAGGAAATGACCACCGTGAAGAATTTTGGAATGATAGGAAGGAGGGGTAGAAACTGTAAGATGTTATTCAAAGCATATGGTATGTATTTGGGGAGCGGAGGGAGAGGATTATAGATCGTTCCATAAGGAGTATCTAAGAATAGAGGAGGTTGCCACAGAGGTCAGTATTTATCTTCTAAAGTTGAGATCATTCTTCTAGCTTAGGCTGAATCACTGCTTATGGCCCCCTCTTAGCTGAAAAAGACGTAGGAAAAGTTTGCATGACTTAGCATTAACCCAGATCGTATATATGGAAAACCACATACCTGGATAAATTTCACAATGTTTTCTTTCTTTAGACCATCAACAAAGTGCTGGTCCAATACGCTGCAATTGTATCAAGTGATTTCAGTTCCTATTGTGATAAGGAAAACGTGGTAAGTAAAAATGTCTCGGCTCCCATGTATTTCTCAGTTGAGATTTACTTCTTCAAGCTACGAGTAAGCAAGAGAAATTGTTTATTTTCTATTTTCATGCAGGGTGATTAAAAAATAGAGATCGGAAGGAGTGGTTTGAGAACTTCTTTAGTAATCTTAAGCTGGTTTTAATCCCAGGAAAGTCAGTTGTCTTGATGAAGCCAATTTGTAGCTTTCCAGATTGATAAGGAAGAAGACTATGAAAATCCATAAAGTCCTAAAATATTAGAGGTGAGGACTGGAAAGTTTAAAACTAGATGAGCATTGGCACCAACTAGTTTTGTTTGGGCACCAATACTAAAATTAGGATAATTTAGTCTTTCAGTTTTCAGATAAATTGAGAAAAATGGTTAATGTATCAAATGATGCTGATTTCTTCTCTGAATTATTACTTTAGCCCTTTTTAATGATTAGGGAAGTATTTATAAAAGCCAAATGTGTATTGCAAGTTAATAAAAGGCATAACGAGAGGCAAGATAAACCGAAGTTATTTGGAATATAGTCAGTGTTATATTTTGATAGAAAGTGGAAACTTTCCTATTCAGTTAGTAATATTAGGAAAAATATGTTGGCAATATGGTAGGAATTTTAAAAAATAGCAGCACCGAAAAACCGAGTGTTTAAAAAATAAGCACTGTATTTTCTTAGAAGAAGAACTAGTCTTTTCTCGCCTGAAAAAATCAATTCTATTAGCAATTCTGCAAGAATTCTAAAGAAAGCTACTTGTCTTCTCCCTGAAACCTCATTGACCTCTTGCTGACAGTTCATTAAGTCAGTGCTAATGATTCTTCAGAATTCCAAAAGATGCCTCTTCCTCATAAATTAACATGCTCCCAGAAATTTTGTGAGAACTTCCAGACATCTCAGCAGTGGTTTCTAATTGCCATTGATTATAAATGTTCTGAAGGCAAGAGAGGTACTTCTTTCCTGAAAGCATATATTCCTAATTAAATGACAATGCCTGTCTAAACTGTTCCATAGAAAATCCAAAGAGTACCTGATAATTTCAGAAAGATTCTATTTATATGATGATTGTTAAATTGAAGATTTTGAAAGGTGGCTGTGAACGACTAAAGCTGATTCCTGCCCCCTTCAGAAAGGAAACTTAGCTTTTAAAAGTCCCTAGAGACTTCCGCTATATGTATTAAGCTTCTATATTGTATTTTACATTCAAAAAACAAAGATGAAAATTATAAGTCAGTCGTTGTTTTATTCTATGTACTTTTTCAGTATGTTTTATATTTTTAAAATTTAAATTTTCATAAAGAGGAAAAAAGCCCTTGCATACATTATAGTACTGGAATATTCTATTTCTTCCATGATTACTCATGTCTTGACCTGCCTTATACTCTGTTGCTTAAATGCCAAGTACCATGTTAGCTTTTATAAAAGACTATCACTTAGTTATTTGGTTTATAATTTCACCTGAGACAAGCTAAAGTGCTTTCATATATTTGCATGAGTACATATAACTATTATTACAGATTTATCAACATTTCCGTATCAAGACCATTGAAACTTGTATACTGAACTTTCTCAATGTATCTATTTCATCTGAAAATTAAACTGGAAACTTCTAAAGATAGCTATCATTCAAGATTTGACCATAACACTTGATTTTTCAGTGACCAGAATCAAAGACCAGAATTAAATAAAATGTTCATATCAGAATAATATTTTTCTACTGTGACATTTTAAATTGGAAATGGGCCCAAATATGTTCAACCATTTTACTCCACATTTCAAAATATAAAAAAGTATCACTATTGAAATCAGAATTATTTTATATTGAATAATTTTTAAATCTTTTTCAGCTTAGAAACACTTTAGCCAGGTAGAAATGTCCTGGGTATGAACAGAACTAACGTTCATACTCATCCTGTTTCAGGTCCCTAAATTTGTTTTAGAATGAGATAAAATGAAATGCATATTTTTAGAAAAAAAGGTCAAAATGTACAAATAAGAGATGCAACATCAAACACAAGTGATTTTCTCCTACTAAACTCTTCAATACAATATGTCTAAATTAGTTACTAGTATTAGTTATTATTTCTTTTGCTATAGGTTTCTTTTCTTTCTTTCATTTACTATAGCATTGTATAAAGTAAAAGCTGGTTTATGATTAAATTAAATTAATTAAATTGTGAAATCTAGCTCTCAGTAGTGATTTGACAAATTAATTCAATAAAATTGAACGGTGAACATTTCAAGGTCAGGGAAAGCTTAATAGAAGGGGAGAGTCTCGTATTTATCTCCCTGCAGATAACAGCATCTCCTTTGTCCTCTGTAGCCTTACTTGGGGTCAATAGCAATCCGTGTCAAGTGAGCCCAGCTGCCTGTGTTCATTTTGTTCTTAGTAGCTCTTTTTCATCAGAAAAGACCATATTAAGGAAGCTTGGCAGTGGTCTTTAATTATAAAGCTACTACTAGAGTCTTGTTAACTGTGCCAACAAAGAGAAGCTTAAAGGCTCATATCAAATAATCACAGAAGATTCTCCCCTGCAAATTTAGACCCATGGGAACCCAGGGTCTAACCAAGAAACTTGTCATCCATGTAGTCTCCCTGCTTCTCATTATAAATCATGGTCTCACTTTGATCTTGGATTTCCCCCTAGTAGGATTGCCCAAATTCAAACCTATACCTGCAATTAAAAAGAAATAAAGCCCAGTAACCTTATTTCTTTATGGAAAAAAATAGTTCATTGGCTTAGTTTGTGGACTTTGAGTCAAGGTGATGAATGTCTTGAAAATTTGATCATACCTGCTATCAAAAGGACTAAGTACTTATCAATCACGGTGAGGGATCAGAATCGTTTGTGAAGCGTTCTGATTCAGCTTGCTAGATCAGAATCTCTGGGTGATAAATCTCACACACCTGGGTGAAAAAAAATAAAACTTAAAGAACTGGAATCAAGGGAACAGAATTTGAAATTGTTTTCATAAATGGAAGTTAGGATGTGGTCATTTCAAGAGTCAACTAGAAAGGTTTTCAAAGATCAGTAAGGTGGAAAGCAGTAACAAAATCTTTCTACTGATGGGAGCTGGCACCTCCCTTGACGTCTCACGAGTCCTTTGCGTGACTCTCTGGCTCGCTGTTGGCTTATTTCCCAGCCACTTGGAAGACACGTACATTTTCCTTTCTTTGCTTGTGTTTTCCTCCTCCTGGCTCTGAGAAATCAATGCACAGCAAATAGTAATTGCTTCTGTGACTGAATCTGAATTCTGTTTTCCATTTATAAACTAATTATTCTAAGTTCACATCTAGCCCTGTGCAAAAGCTTTGCATTTTGTTATTTTTGTATTTCTGCCTCCTTGGAAACAAGTTGAGAAACATTTTTAAGCATGTATTACGTGTAAAATGCTGCACGGTAATCTGTGAATAAGAAAAGCAGAAGAAGGCACAGAATCCCGTGCAGTGTATTGAAGGTTAGCTGGTGAGACCGTGAAAAGTAAAACAAATGCCAAGTGAGTGATGAAAATAAAATCTAGGAATGGGAAAGCTCTAACTTGAATGATGGATAAAAAGCAAAGATGAAAATGAGAAGGGATCCATGCATTAGAGCTAGGAACGAATACCAGCATAGGGTCTTTATCTATAGCCAAAGAATGAATTTAAAGATTTTTTTAAAAAAAAATTATCTTGGATTTAAAATATTCAGATGGTATTTCAGTATTTAGATAGTAAAATAATGGTAGTGTTTTTCTTAAAATACATCTATGAAAATAATATAGTTAATGTTTGTGTGAAACGCTACCATGTTAAAGATAAAAAATCTTAAGTAGCAAGTCTGTAACAGTTTACCGTCTGAATATGTTATTCAATTCTAATTCCCCAAAGTGGCATTATGTTTTTCCCTTTCCATGCTTAGCTGTCAACGACCATAATGTTGAAATTTGCAGGAAAGTGGTAGTCAGTAACTAGCACTTTTAAGTTAAACTCAGTCAGTAATTTAATATATAAATTTTACTCACAATGTCCTTCTTTTTATTTAAAGCCCTGTATCTTGATGAACAATATCCAACAGCTACGAGTCCAGCTGGAAAAAATGTTTGAATCCATGGGAGGAAAAGAGGTGGGTGTGTCTTCCTGCCTATATTTATATGATACCTACTTAGAGATCATTAGCCGCGTAGCGCTAGCTATAGAAAGTGTCTAAATCAAGTTCTCACACGGCTTAGCTAAAAACAGAAAATGATAATAATCTAAAATCCCATTAATAACTGAAATGACTATGGCCAACAACAGAATACTTTAGCAAACACCAAGTGTAAATGGGGAGAGTAAGATAACCAGAATCAGTAGCCTTTTGTTGTGTGTGTGTGTGTATAATCAAGTATTTGTAAGTATATGTGCTAATGATAAAGTTCCACAAATTGTAAATGTCTTTTACTGTCTTGTACCATGTCAGGTTGATACCAACGTTGTTCTGAAATATGCTTTGTGGTGCTAGTGGCTTTTTATGTATTAGTGATTTGTTTTTCACCTCAAATAAGTTCTGTCATAAATGTGTTGTGTGCTATGTCCGTAATGTGTCATGTCTTTGTCCAACATCTTTGGCTTGCAATTCCCTGAGCAGAAGAAGGAAGGAGAAAGATTCTCTTATGAGGTTTGTGATAGTAAGCATCTTACCCTTTCCCTGGCTGTTTCCCGACACACACACCGAAAGACCATTGCAATTCTTATTTATTCCCATTTGCTTGTTTGGAACAGACAGACAGCAAAATACTAGCTGTGCACCTGCCTGTCTCTGCCTGCTGGAGTCTTTTCTTTCACAAACTGATGTGAGCATCTGGAGATTCAGGGCTGAAGAAGGTGCCAAGAGGGAGAGCCATAAAACTCCTTGCCTCCTAACGGTTGCTGTGTTAATAATATAGGTGTATGGGTATTTCTGTTTAAGATTTGTTTACATTGTTCCTTTCTATGATAAAGGATATGAGAGGTATGCAAACCAAACCTAGGCTGGATTTCAAAACAAAGATTCTTCCTATTTCATTTATGAGGCTATAAATGTTTCTTTTGAGATTGGCCTCTTAACATGGGATTTTGCTTGAAACTCCAAAGCTTTATACACTTCCCCCAATATCTGTTTCAAGTCTTTGAAAAAGACATGCTATGTAACATCCCTCAAATGAGAAGCACTAGGATATATGTGTGATGGGGCAATACTTTTTTAAAAAATGAACTTTTTTATGAGCTATGCTTCCATTGCAATCTCAGTTTAATTTATATAAAATAGGGCTTCATTCCCCCAAAGTATGTTAATGCTTTTTGCAAGGTTTGAGAACATCAATCTCATTTTTGAATTCTTCTGCTGAATTAGATGAATACAAGCCATTGGGGATCCTCACTTGAGGTTTCCTTTTTAATTTTAGTGATATTTTATATGAAGACTTCAAGTCCACTTACTGTTTAAGAAAGTAGTGAAGAAATTATTGATTTCTTGTGGGAAATACTATCTCCTTTCAGTGAATTTTAAAGACCACAGATCATTTAAGAGTACATTATATTTAAAATGTCATATTTCTAGACATTCATCCTTATGCTGCTACTATTTCATTACTGTTCTGTGTTTGAAAATTAGTGCGAATAATGTATGGCTGAGCTGAATTTAACCAGACAAATTAGAAAAGCCAGACCAACCAGACAAATTAGACTTACACTTAAAGGGAATTGTATTGGCTAAGCTGCCTACTAACTAAAAATGTTGTGGGCTGGCTTGTTCACGAAGCAAAACTGGACTCCTTATTTCAGATAAAATTGCTAGTTTGAAATGCGAAGGTTTCACATAGTAGTTTTAATTTTAAATGTACGAGTCAATCACAGACCTCTTCTTCTGACTGGTAAAAATAATGAAAACAGAAATATTACACTAAGCTTGGTACCTTTTTCCTTTGTAACTCTTGCAAGGTCTATTTGCTACACTTCTCCAACATAATTTGAAGGGAAAATTAAGTAAACAAGTATAATGAAATGAATGCCTAGCTTCTAATAAAGTAAGCTGTTCAAGAGAGAGCATTGATCCTGACTCCTTTCTTTCCCTACATTTAGTTTTTCATCTCCTTCCTCCCTCTCTTTACCCTCTTCTTTTTTCTTCTGTCTCTTTTATATATTTTTCTATGCATAATTCTTTTCTCTCATCTCCTTTCATTTTCATCTCTTGTCTTTAATTGCCAAGGAGATGCTTTAGGCAGGCCTAGTCAGCATTGGCAAATGGATTATCGGGAGGAAGAAAGACCAGAATCCCAATCTGAGTATAATGTGCATACTCCCAGGCAGAAATAAGATTAATTAATACAGAATTATGTTATAATTGCTGGTTGCTATACTAAGCCTTCTCTAGGCAGCAGAATTTCAAAATAATTGGCACAATTTTTCTAATACAGTTATCTATACTGCAGTTATGATGGTGTCTGAAAGGATTCTTCAACTTGGGGCTTTTGCAAAGATGAAAAGGAATTTGATTGAAAATGAAAAAATTCATCCTTAGATAGGAGAACTATATACAGCACTTAGTGCAGACATGTTCAATGGTTCTTAAAGATTAGACGTGGGTTGTACTAATGCCAATTCCCAGGTGTTTTTTGGTTGTTGTTTTGTTTTTTTCTCACAGTGGAACTGGTTATAAAACCTTAACTGGTATCGCTAAGGATCTTTTCCAGCCTAGTCCTTCTTCTTCTTCTTTTAAGAATATCTTATTATTTTGTCTCTACCATCTGTGCACTTCTTGATACAAAAATTAAATAGTAAATGATTGCTTGTGAGTTTGCTCAAAATAGTTTTTAATGCCACGTGTCCACTAGTTGGCTTCCAGTACAGCGCTGCTTGCCTCTAACACTGTCTGTCTGCAAGGTGCTGGCCGCTCGCAGCTTGATTGCATGATGCTCAAGCTCTCTGCTGCTTTAGCCTGATCACTGTGTTGTGGGGGCGTTGTTCTTTCTTTACAGGGTCAGCCTTTTTTCCCTCTGAAAACAGAAGGAGTGTTTAAAAGTGCTTTTGATAGAAAACACTGCTTTCTCTATGGAGTCCAGGATGGAAACATGGCTTACCACTATGGCAATACTGGGATTATGTTGTTGACAATGGCTCCAAAAGCAATCACTTAAGCAATCGGGGTTAAACAACTATACATACTCTATCCTGTGGTCTGTGTCAGCACATTTATTTTCTAATACCATATTTAGGAAAAATTCAAAATAGAAGAGCAAGCTACTAATGTCTTCTCCTGCGGAGTGACTTTCCAACACACTTCTCTACATACAGATCAAGAGATTGTTTGGGCATAACATTACTAACTCTTCTAGAGAACATTAAAAACAAAATCTCCAAAAACCATGAAGAAACACTAACTTTTAGGAATGAGGACCAGAGTCTGTTTTCTTTCTTTCTTTCTTTCTTTCTTTTTTTTGGAAAAAGAAAGCATCTCAAGTGATTTTTTAATGTGTATAGAGTTTTGGAAATCACTACAATAAAATAGATAAAATAGCCAACCTATGTTATGGACTTGCTTGATCCAGAAGTTAAATTATTTTCACCACCATCTTTATACTACATGAGCTTATTTCTTTATAATACAATAACAGCAAAATTATTGTAAGATGCCACGTAATAATTTTATTCTTTGGGATATGATTATTTTATTATTCTACAGTAGCTCAAATTGCTCAAAAATGAAATGTATTTTATCTTATGTTATTTTAGTACCATAGTTATTTTATGAATATAACTCAGGGTATATCAATTGAACATAAATACTTAGTCTATGTTCATTTTGATACCAAAAAATACTGTTACATCCCCTAGAGAAAATCTATTTACATTTCCTTGATCTGTAATCTAATTTGTACAAGTATACTAAAAAGAAAACTAATCAAAACTTTAATTTCTTTTCAGGGAGTGATAAGATAGTTATGAAACTCCATATTAAGTTATTGAAACTGATTTAGAAGATGCATTATTAAATGGTAGAACCTGTAGTTATCCACAGCCTGCTAACTATTAACAGTATTTCAAATTCTAGTTAGACATTTTGAAGACCCTTAGGGGAAAGGGAGGTTGTTTGTTCACCTAAATTCTTTAATTCTGCTGACCACAAGCCAGACAAATTAGGTACAATGATAATGCTATTTTTATTGATTTGTCTCAAAAAAGGATTGAATCTTCTGACTCATCTCATGGTGGTAAAATTTCCCTGTGAGAGTTACTCTTACATATGTCCGGGCTGCATAGGGCCAAGGAATCTGGATGAGAAACATGTGTCCTAAGAGTGTATATATTTTGATGAGCAATTGAATTATACTTTTGTTTTCTAGATACATGTCTATATTATTTTTAATTTTTAATGGTTGATTTGATGTGTCAGGTAGACATTCCATCTGATTTCCCAAAGGTGTATGTATGTAGCTCATTGAAAGTCTGTTAGGCATATGGACTCAGTCATTAGCTAGGAAACTCCAAGCCAGAAAGGAAAGAATTAACCTCCATTATTTTTCACTTGACACTATCCTCCCAACTTTATACATACTGAGGCAACATGGAATTGAAAATCATTGCTTTAAAGGAAGTAGTACTCCATGCCAGTAGTTCTTGCACTTCAGTGTGCATCAGAACTAGCTGGTGAGCTTATTCAAACACACATGGCTGAACTTGGTGCCCAGAGTAATTGATTTAGTAGGTCTGAATCAAGGCCCAGAGATTTTCCTGTATAAGAAATTCCCAGGTGATGCTGTTTGGTCTGGGACCACACTTTGAGAATTACTGCTATACTCGTTTAGAAAAGGAACCAGGTAATTAGAAAATAACCTAGAATACCCCTTTGTCTGAACTTGAGCTACTCCTCCTAACAGGACTTCTTTCTGTGTTTTGAGTCTGAAAGATGCACGGGATTCAACATGTTTGAATGGACATGGGCGCAGCATGCAATAAAGCAGGCAAATATTCATATTAATAATCTCAAAATACAGGTAGTCAATTTGTAGTCATATCCAAGTCCAGCATTTTGTTTTCACATTCTGGCCTTTATACTTACATATAATGGTATCAAACTTTATGTTGAGGTTTTTGATCTGTCTCCCCTTTTCTCTTTATTGTAAATAGATATAAGTTACTATTTAATAAACTAATGAGAATCAACAATCTGTCGTTTTTTCTCTTTTACGGTAATTACAAAATAAATTACAGAGTAAGTTAAATTATAAATGTATATCAGAACAGATAATAGAATAATTTTAACCAGTTATATATATATATTTTTTTAGTCCTTAAAAATGTCTTTTAAAGCAGGGTCAAAGTGCTCTCTGTTTAATTTAAGAATTTGTTGTGGGCTACATATATTTGCTTTGTCTGCAGAAGGGCAGGCGTTGAAGTAGGAAATAAAGTACTTAAAAAATGCCTTTGACTTTGTTTGTTAGCCATTCGTCTGTCTTCCTCAGATACATGTCTGTTGCCCAGTGATAGATGGGATTGTTTGCTCTTTTCTTATTGATTAATTTGAGTTCTCTATAGACTTATGGAATTTACAAATAGTAAGAGACCTTGTAAAACAACCATTAGAGCAGAGATACTTTTTAGCACCTAATGAAAGATACTTGGAAGCCAGATGGTGCATGTCTGCCGGAGCCACGCTAAGTGTCTCTTCCCCTTGGGGCTCTGTATGAAAGACAGAGGTCAGAGCACACTGAACACGAAGGCAGAGTTTACTCCTTCATTAATTCATTCAACAAATATTTATATGCCTGGCACCTATCATAGCTGCAAATTTTACCAGGCACCAGAGAGATAATATTTACTAAGATGCAGACCCCCACCCCAAAGAACTTCAAGTCATGAAGGGGAGCCAGAGCAATTAGAGAGATGAGGTTTGGGGGAGAAAAGAAACAACCCTTTCTAAACTTGAAGATATCCTTCAAATGAAAGTTATAATGAAATGAACTCCTACCTTTAGCCTGTTAGTATGCAGATAAAGTTCAAAAATGAGATGTCATGTGACTGACTTCAGTCAAAGTAATCAGTTATTTTCTGTTTCATAGTACTGGGTAATAAGGAGACTTGAGTATTTGAGGTGCTAGCCTTTGATTGAGGCAGTGTGCAAATATTGCCCGGTTTCTTTCTCCTCTGAACCATCTCTGCAATTAGAATTCACAAATTGGACTTAATAGAAAGTTAAAAGAATAAGGAAGGCCAGAAAGGCAAATTGCATTGAGGAGATTTAATAAATAAGATTAAGAATCCAGCACTATTACTGTATGAAGTCCAGCTAACTGCTTATGCTGTAAAATTTGTAACATTAAGAAAAGGTGCAACTGAAGAGGCTGAGAGGTTTCTGTGCTGGCGACCCACATCCAGATGCAATGAAGACTCAGCCCGGTGCTGCTTGTTAACTCCATTCCCCAGAGCTTTCGGAAAGAGCACAGGGTCACTCACATGCTGCCACGTCTCTTTTTAAAGTAACCTCCCTCTGAACCTTAAGAAAACTTGAGGGGAGAATATATATGCCACAGCCAGGAGGGACAGAAATAGAGTTTCACTGCCATCTTCCATAATAAATCCACTTTGCTATCTTGTGATTGCTTATTCCTGCCCTGCAAACCCCAAGTCAATGGAATCACTAGGAAAACTTAACTTATTTAGCCTAATGCGTCGTCCTCTTCTCCTGCTGGGCAGAGTCGTCCTGAAGCACATGGTGCTAACAGCTCCCTGAGGCGTTCTGTCCCCCAGCACTTGACATCCTCCAACAGGTACTGAATTCAGTTGACTGAGCAGATAGATTCTCGTTGTTGAACAGTGGTTCATTAGAGATGCAGGAACATGAACCAACAGCCGATTGGAAAAGACAGAGTCAGACAGGGGAAAAGGCAGTATGTGTAGAATGAAATTCTGAGCATAAAGCGTCTCCTCTCTTCTCTTCCTGAATTACCCCCACTCTGTCCAGTTTCACTGTTAGTCAGCCAGCATAGATGCGGCTAATAAGGCCTAGTTCCTTTCCAGACATGATTAACCTTGGGGAGGTTTGCTTTCTTACTGCACATTTGCAGAAGAGAGTTTCTTCAGAGGAAACAGCCTCCAAGAGGCTCAATCCCCAGGTGATCCCCAGGTAATCCCCCAAATAAGGCACCTTATTTGGGCCTTAGTTTCACCCACCTGTAGAAAAGAGAATGTTTAACTACGGGATTTCTGAATATTGTTTTTCTTCTGAGATTGTGAAGTTATAAGGATCAGAACCTTGTTAGCAATGCACAGAGTAAGGGGGTAGTATATTTGGGATAGCTGGGAAAGGGAAATACCATTCCAACTAGGAGAAAAAGAATAAGACTTGAAGGTTTAATTAAACAAAAAAAAATTTCAGAGAAATAGAAAAATCCAAAATTTTCTCTATATTTTCTAACTTGAAGCTACATGGAGTGGATTATAAAATATAAAACAATCTTCCCCCACCCCTTCTATTGTCCAGGCCAAAAAACACAACACATGTCAAAGGCATTTAGTTGTCTTGAAACACAGTGACAGGTTCTTTAGTTAGGATGGAAGACAGCTACTGGTGTTCGATGTTTGAAACCAAGTTAGGAGCTTGAATTGATAGCATTACATTCATGCAATGACGAATGGGACAAAGAAAATACATTGTCTGTGTCTGAAAATGATCATGTAAGTTTTTGGAGAGGATCTCTGCTAAGAAGAATATAAAAAAGAAATGAAAAGCAGGTGGCACAGTTAGAGCTGGGGCGCATCTATTTGCAACAGAGAGGACCATGTATTTTCTTTCTAGCCACACACCCCAGTGTCTATGCTGCCACTGACACAATACGAAGTGATTTAGGGCATTTCTGGGACTGTGCCCTACTGCTGGATTTATTAGGGAACTTTCACTGATTTCTCAGCCACATGTTTTAAGTTGAACTAGCATTATAAGGTGAACTGGCATTATAAGGTGAATAGATTCTGGTCCAATAGAAGGATTAGAGAAGAATGATCTTCTCAAAATGGAAGAATAGTAAGAGTACAGGTATGATTGAGTGAGAAATTGCTTCTAGCACTTTTCTAGTTGAAAGCCAGTTTGAAGGGTAAGCAAGTGCCATGTTCATATTTGGGTTTTATAAAAACAACTCTGGGAACAGTTAAAAGGAAAGGGAAAGAGGAAATAAGAACACAACTTGGAGATGACTGCAGTACCTTAGATGAGAAAAACACTGCATCAGGCCTGAGGAGGAAAGGACAGGGGGAGAAGACATTTCAAAGATATCACCCATCCTATTTTATGTCCAAGTACATATGAAAGGAAGCTGATAGAAGTCAGAGATGACTTTCACATTTCGGCCTTAAATAATTGGAGGCTATTAACCAAATCAGACAAAATGAGAAAGGAAATAAATAAATTACCCTTTGGCAGGTAATACGTTTTGTTTTTGATATGCTGCAATCGAGGTATGTGTGGGCTGTCAAAGTGGAAGAGTCTAGGGGGCCCTTTGGCATACAGGCATGATGTGCAGGCATGCTGCTGAGACCACAGGTAACAGATGGGGGGCCATTAGCACGTGGGTGGTAGTGGAAGCCATAGGGGTGCACATGATTGCTCAAGAAGAATATGGAATAAACAGAAGACTAGAAAAGGAAAAACTGAAGGACTGAAACTGAAGGGGTACACAGAGGAAGAAAAGTCAACGAAAGAGACGGATAACTCATGGGCAGCTATGGAAGCCATGAAATAGCTTGAGAAGGAAACAGCAGCTTGATACCGGGTCCTTTGTTTATTTGGCAGCTTTCTTGAATTTCTCTTATTTATACTGCATCTTGCTTTAATTTTTTTTATTCCCCAAAGTGAGCTTTAGCCCATCCTCTTCTTTTCAGTAGTAGACCTTCGAGTAAGAACTGAAGATGGCAATAGTAGGAAGCTCCATTTCTGAAGGCTCAGAGGAAGACTGACTTATATTTCAATTTCAGAGAGTATTTCCGATTGTCCGTTACATGAATTTCTCTCTGCTTGATATAATACATCTATGTATTATTAAATTTTTGTGGGGTTTTTTTTTTTACAATTTATAAAAATGCAATTAGCAAACAATATAAAACCTTCCAAAATGCTTGGTAAAGTATGTGTCGATCCTTCACTTTCATCATAAAAATAAATGCTGCTTACAGATCAGTGTGTCCAATTTTTGTGTTTGTTTATAATACAAGCTATTTTGTAAGAACAAACCAGATAAAAAGAAAAGTTTAAGTTTGTATTGTAAGAACCAGCGTTAAAAATAAGTTATCTTGATCTAGTTACTTTTCTTTTGCCCCCAGATTTGCTCACAAGCTTAGACCTAAGCTATAAATAATTGAATGAGTACAGAAAAAAAAAATAAAATTTGAAACTTAGAATCTTGAACTTTAAGTTGCAAATTATCATCTAGGAAAAATAGTCAGGCCTATCTATTCCAGAGAAACTTGAGAGGGCTTAATCCAGTCTATCACTTTGAATTCTAAAGTTGGGAAAATATGACAGTACCCTGAAACAAGGGACATCACAACACTCAAAACTTAATTTTTAACTGCAATTAAATTATTTTGCTGGACCTATTTATTTATAAGAATAAATATATTTAAAGATTGAAATATGTTTTGAAGCAACACATATATTCAACTACTATGTAACATGTTTGACTTTCTACATTAGGAAATTACCATGTTCTGGGGAATGTTTTTGTCATGCTTTGCATCCCATTGCTGTAACCAACAAAGTCTTTGCTATCCAGTTCCTATTTGTATGCATGCCATGCATTTCAATGACATTTTTTCATATATGTGAGTCCTCCTTGGTTTCTTTACAATTTCCTAAATGTTTGCATTTGATTTCAAAGGCAAATAAAGAAGAGTAAGAGTGTGTATGTATTGTCCCACGTTACCGTATAATAATCACAATTCTTATCAAAGAAACAAAGGCTTGTTTGGTCAAAATTCCAAAGTAATACTGCTTATGGTCTCTCTGCAGCTAGATCCCGAAGCCAGTAATATTCTAAAAGAACTTCAAGTTAAACTCAACGGGGTTCTGGATGAGCTCAGTGTCACTTATGGTGAAAGGTAAGCGGCCTCAGTGGTAATTATCAAACTGTGTTGGGTGTCAGTTCATAAATTCATGCCTTCACTTCCAGCTCTGTCTTCTGGATGGCTAAATCCATTTACTATCAACTCTCAATCTAAGCATCATTTTCTCTGAAACGTCTTTACGACTCCATCATCTAATAGTGGTATCTTGCTATGCATTCCCTGCAACTCTGTGCATCCTTCCGCTGGGTGGCGTTTACAGCACTGTGCTCCGAGTTTTGTTTTATTTGCCTCCTTCTTTCACTTCTCTATATCCTCCTACCAGCCAGAAACTGTATCTCTTATATAATTGCAATTCTAATGTTTAGAACTTAGCAGTTTGCTACTGAAAGAATAAAGAGACGGAAGGAGGGAGGGAGAAAAATTCTACATCCGCAAGAAGTCTGAGTTGTGTTCGTGCCATACATACCAACATGGTTACACTTTAGAATAACTGAGCACCTGACCCTATACCAAATAAAGTCAGAATTCTTGGTCTTAGGGCATAGAAATCTTAATGCAACGACTCCATGGGCAGGAGTTTGGGAACCACTGACTTATCTGTTCTTATTTTTCTGTGGAATGGACTTAAGGAAAGAGATGTTCACCTTCTTTCAAAATCCACTTCATTTTGGTCCTTTAGGAAAAAAGCTTTCATCCCAGCATCACGTGTTAAAATAGATAGAAAAGCTAATGCCCCTTTGAAGACGTTCATTAATTTAATATCTAATTTTCTTTAAATATGAGTTTAATAAATGTTGCTATATTATTTTAATCCATGTGCTCAGTGCTCAAATGAGACTATAAAGATCACTCTTATGGTGGAGGTTGTCTCTTTGAACACTAACTTACTTACTGTTCTGTTTTAGAAAGATACACAATTAATAAATGTTTAGTGCAGCGATTTTCAGTTGTTGTGCTGTGGCACACTGGTGTGTGCTGAGAGGATCTGAGGAGTGCTGCGAAAACATTTAAAGATCATTAATTAAATTATTTTTGAAAGGAATTCAAAGCACAGTAAGTATATTCTCTTTTTACTCTTTTTTTTTAAACAACATCATTAAACTATACCACAGAAGTTGAATTACAGTTTCAATGGTCCTGTGAGATAAAAAAAAGGTTGAAAAATACTGATTTACCGATTAGTTATATGCTACATATCTACCATTTTTAACTCAGAAAGACTAAAAGGAAAAATACCCTGGAAGCCGCCTTTTTTTTCTCAGATACAGAAATGAAGCTGTCTTCATTATCAGAGGTGTGTCCATAACTCCCTTAGGCCAAGTGCATTGTCTCTGGAGTCTTCTCCACACAGGTGCTAAGCCAGAGAAGCCTTGCCGTACTGAGTTGAGCGTAGTTGCTCTGTCTCTGCTCTGTGTTGTTGTGTGTACCTGACTTGGATGACCCTGCCTGCTTTAGGTGAGAATGAGAAACGTGAAGCTTCTGCTTGCCTGAGGCTGGAGAGGCAGAGATTCTTTCAGAGATGTGGGGCTCACTGGCTCTGATGTGGGGGGACACTTAGTGACAGGGCCTTTGTTCAGCCATTGAAGTCTTGCCTCTCTTTTTTTCTAGTTGGGAATTAATCCGTGGTTAGCAGAAAGTCTGTTCCCTTCAGCTCAGCAGGCAATATTAGAGATTATTTAGCAATGTTAGGGGGAGAAAAAGTGGGCCAGGAATAGCTAGAGGGGTTTAGAACTTTATAGGAAATGAGATGACTAAACAGAATAGAACTAGAATATAAAGGACTTTTAAGTGACTGTAAGATATCCAAATCATCTTGATGAATGAGTGCTTTTTATTTTGTTTGGGAGAGGGAATATTCAGGTTGCAAAGGCTAAAATATGATTCTGGGCATATTTTAATTATGAAAGAAGGAGTGATGCCCTTAGGAGGGCACTTGAAGTGCTTTATTCATATAAAGTCAGCGATTTTAGCCTAGGTACTAAAACCCAGGGCTATCCAAGACCCATTCCTTCATTATTTTTTAAATATGGGAAAAAACATAGTACTTGGTTCAGTTAGGGTTATTAGGATGATTGGACTAAACAGGCCACGTCATGCTTTCCTTATAAAAAGAGTAAGGATTGTATCCTTATTGCTATAGCTTTATTTCACACTATCAATCAGGCCAACATCATATTCTTAGAGTAGCTCATGAAAAGTCTGCAGTGATGAGTATGATTGTGCTACAAAGTCAAACTGTGTGATTTTAGTCTGAACACCCCCTTCCTAGGGGCTTTAAAATCAAGTAAATAATTAATTGTACAAATCCATCTGATCTTCTGTTATTAAAACCCACAATTAGACAATTCTACTACTTGCAGCTGTTAGGGTATCTTTGCAGTAAGCTAGGGATGAGCCAAACCCACGTTTGAACTCTGGATCCCACATTCCTGACATGTTCATGGGCACCCACCTAGGAACTGACACTGAGTAACAGCACTGCAGTGATATCTTAATCATGTTCTCAAAGATGGTCTTAAAACTTTCAGAACTTGTGCTAATTGAGGTTTCTCCTGACACACGTATTTTACAGTTTGTTTTGTTTGTTTAATGATATTCCTTTTACTGATACTGTTCATACCAAGGACTGGCTAGATTAAGTAAACAAAGAATTCAGAAACACTTTATGGGAATTATTCTGGGAGTGTTTGACAAATTGGGTGCTCCCCAAATCTGTCATTATTTATTGGTGCTATTTTTATTTAAGCCAAGTAATACTTTTTTAACAAAAAAAAA